CCCCCCGACGGCAGGGATCGCCGTCCGTTTCTTAAATCTACCTAAAATTAAGCGAAGTGTGCGAGTTTTTACAAGCTTCTGTGAAGAAGGCTGTTCAAAGTGCAGATTCTTTCGTAACGGTCTTAAATCCGTTCCGTTATATGCTCTTTTTAATAGGGTGGAGAGAAGTGAGCGCTTTTTCCCAGGTGACAGCACTCCATTTTGTATGTTGCTGTGGTACCCTACGTGAGATAATCTGCAAGCAAAACTTCTGAAGTTGTGCGAGTTTTTACAAGCTTCTGTGAAGAAGGCTGTTCAAAGTGCAGATTCTTTCGTAACGGTCTTAAATCCGTTCCGTTATATGCTCTTTTTAATAGGGTGGAGAGAAGTGAGCGCTTTTTCCCAGGTGACAGCACTCCATTTTGTATGTTGCTGTGGTACCCTACGTGAGATAATCTGCAAGCAAAACTTCTGAAGTTGTGCTGCTTAATTTTTATTTGTTCGTCTTTAATAAGGGTTAAAAATCGTTGCAATCGAAATTAGATCGATTAAACTTCAACTGGTTAAACTTCAATCCTTAAGACACATAAGAAATCAGTTTTATCTCCGTCTCCATAGAAGGACTTTCAGGCATACTGAAAAGTATGCTTTGTTAAATTTGTCAAATTACAGTAATGTAACATGTCATAAATGCATTGCAAAGCGTAGTCATGAAGAAGATGTTTATGCCTATAAATTAGCAGGTTAATGCTGCTTGCTGTGGATTACGTTTCTTATTTATGGTCATTCAGGCTCACTGAACACCTAATTCATGCCGTCTGGTGGCTTGCCATAGTCTGTTTTCTGGAGTGCCACAGTTTAAGTATTTCTGACCAGTCTGTACTTTTTATTTGAGAGCTAGAAATTTGATCCCATGAGGGAACAGAGAGACTATCAAATGGTACTCAAGCTATCTTTGCATGCGAATAAGCTCTATTTTTACCTTTCTAAGCAGTTTCTTTGATATAGTTCTAACTAGATGATTTACCTAAAACGTGTTAGAGCTTCTGAGGTCTTGAACTCCTCTTTATCCCTGCAGGAGGATGCTCGTGATTTGGATGCCTATACGTTAGCCAAGTCTTACTTTGATCTAAAGGAATATGACAGGGCCGCATATTTTCTGCGGGGCTGCAAGAGTCAGAAGGCTTATTTCTTGTATATGTACTCTAGATACCTGGTAAGACAAACAGAAAAATTCCCTTTACCGCAGAACTCATCTGCTTCCCTTCCCTCCCTCATCTAGAACCTGGCATATCTTAGTCTTCTATCCTGTTCCAAGTGACAGTATAGAAAGCCAAATTATGTGGGGGGAGGTTTGTGGGTTTTTTGGGGGGTTTTCTAAGTGAGCTGGGTAGAATCATCTGTGGTGCTCTTGAAAACTCAGTTTAAATGATGCTACCAGAATTGCAGGCATCGTAAGGAATATGCTGCTGTAAAGTAAGCTTGTTTTTCTTCTGTTTTCCACAGTCAGGAGAAAAGAAGAAGGATGATGAAACAGTGGATAGTTTGGGTAAGGCTGTAGTGTCAAGGAACATAAGACAATATAATGAAGCTTACGGTAGTGCCTCTTCATGCAAATCATTTCAGTTTTATGGCTTTTTCCTCTCATTTTTTTTTTTTTTTTTGTAACGTAGTTTGCTTTCAATTAATTGTTTTGACACAGGTTGCAGATTTTCATTTAGTAGTTCTTCTTTTAAAGCAGGTGATGACTAAACTTAATGATTTTTCTTCTAAAAAGAGAAAAATAATCAGAGGGTGGGAAGCTTTCAGGTCATGCCAGTGATGAATTCTGAGTGAACCCTTGACTTCACAATTACTGTGAATAATGCTTATTGTGATAAGCACCTTGACTGAAAGGTAGCTATTTGATTTTCTCTCCATGCAGGACCCCTGGAAAAAGGGCAGGTAAAAAATGAAGCTCTACGAGAATTAAGAGTAGAGCTTAGTAAGAAACACAAAGCACGGGAACTGGATGGATTCGGCCTTTATTTGTAAGTGTCTGCATATATTTCTAATGTATTCATGTACACAGAGTATATGCCTCTGATAACTTGGTAACTTTTCTACTTGATAACTTTTTCTGCAGGTATGGTGTTGTGCTGCGGAAGCTGGACTTGGTGAAAGAAGCCATAGATGTATTTGTTGAAGCTGCTCATGTCTTACCTTTGCACTGGGGAGCCTGGCTGGAACTCTGCAACTTGATTACAGATAAAGAGATGGTAAAACTTGGGAAATATCAAAACGTAATAAATTCCAGAGTCCATACTGATTCAGTAGCTGATGGATTAGTTGTCATGAGATTGGTGTCATCCACTGCTTTATTCTCCTGTGAGACTCTGTCAGGCAAGACAACCCAAGACTGTAAATTATGTTGTTGAAGTGTCTTTTTCTTCAATAGCTTGCCATGCTGTAGTCTGAGAATCTTTATTACAGCCAGGGCTAGCTTCTCATAGGGCCAGCAAATGGTTAAAGAAATGGCTGATTCACATATTCTGAAATAGTTGTCAATTGTCAACTGGGCTTTTGCCACGTGAGGGCGATCCTCCTTAGATATTTATTTATTTGTGTCTGGTTCTGGTTTCACAGTTACTGAGCACTTTAGGCGGTGGCCTGAAAGTGTATATAAAATCACTATGGGTATCGTTTTTGAATGTCTTTGCGCTTTGAAGTTTGCGCTTTTCTTGTCACTATTGTGCCAGTTATATGTAATGATACAAATCCTTTTGTAAATAGCCATTCAATCAAGTAAGTCCATAGTAAGGCTGTTCCTACGTTATTAGCAAGTGCAGTATAGTAGGCTTGAATCTGTAGTGAGAAACAGTTGTATCTGGAGACCTGATGTTCACACTGTACATGATTTGAGGAGGTTACTTTGAACTAGCTTTAATCTGGTTTTGTGGCTTAGACACTGATTAGTAATGGGAGTGCATCTCTGAGTTTAGTCTCATCCTGAGAGAATGTAGTTTGCATCCTCTGATACAGCTCCATGATGTGAGACAAACTGCGATAGTGGGGATGACTGAGAAATTCACTTCAGAAGTGCACTTCTCATCCAGACTTAAAAAATTACATAGGTGTGCCCTTTGTCAAGTACAAAGCCCCACATATGAAATGAAGGAGTATATCTAATAACTGAAGTTGGATATAGAAATAGATTTTGTCTTTATGCATGGGATTTACGTGACCGCTCCTGGAATTCTCGCTCAATTCTGGCTGGTAGAATACTTTAAAAAGTAGAGGGGGCACAGAAGAGGCCTTGTTGATTTGTGGAAAAAGAGAAATGTATTTCTGGTGAGACTGTTCACAACTGTGTTCGTTTGGCTCATCAAAAATAGTGATTTGATTTATTTATTTATTTTTCTGATGCTCAAATGTGGGAGAAAAATACCGTCTTGGACGGTATTTTGAATTTAGCGGAGAAGTAAGGCCAGTGGCTGAAGCAGAAGCCAGGTGCTTTCAGATTTGAAATAAGACAATCATTTTTGTCAGTTATTGTTGAAATTTCGGAAGAAATAGAGTCATTTCATTTGGTCAGTCATGGGAGTATATAGGGAGTAACTAAATGTGATTCTGTGATTCATACTGTACTGTTCTTTAGACCAGATGTTTGAATGCTCCTTTCTTGTTTCAATATTCTTAATTTATAGGCATCATTTAGTCTCTCCTGTGGAAGAACCCAGTATTAATTCTTGGTCCTAATACGGCTCTTTAATAGCTGGTGTTATGGCCTAAGAAAAAGATTACAGGAAAGTCTCCTACCTCAAGACCATCTGCTAAATCATGGGAGGGAAGATAATGGATTCTTTTCCACGGTTGGCTCTTAGAACACTACTGATTGTCATCTCTTCCTCCTCTTCTTTGGTTCTTGCTAGTTGAAGTTCCTGTCCTTACCAGATACATGGATGAAAGAGTTCTTTCTCGCACACATTTATACAGAGCTGCAGCTGATAGAGGAGGCTCTGCAGAAGTATCAGAGTCTCATTGATGCAGGATTTTCCAAAAGCACTTACATCATCTCTCAGATTGCAGTTGCCTACCACAACATCCGAGGTCAGTGATACTTACTAGTAGGAGTGGGCCTCTTGATGCAAACTTAGCATTTGTAGTTCTTGTTCTCACGTCTGCTGTTCCTTGTTCAGATATTGACAAAGCTTTATCCATCTTTAACGAGCTAAGGAAACAAGACCCTTACAGAATAGAAAACATGGACACTTTCTCCAACTTGCTGTATGTTAGGGTAAGCACCCTTTGTGTTGCCTACGTTATGTATCGTGCTAGTATTTGTCAGAGGTATTGTACCCATTGGCAAAGCAGCTGTTGTTAACTAACCTCTCTAAGATAGGCTTTCAGCCTTTGTTTTCTGCCCCCTACCACTCCATGAAATAGATGCTGGGTATGCATTGCCAACCCCCTAGGTTTTCCTCCATCAGAAAATGTAATGTGCTCCTTTCCTCACCAGTTTCATTTCTCTGTTTCACTAGAGCATGAAGCCCGAATTGAGCTACCTGGCTCACAATCTCTGTGAGATAGACAAGTATCGTGTTGAGACCTGCTGCGTAATTGGTGAGAGCCAGCTCTGTTACTTGTTCTATGCTGTCTGCAGACTGTGGGAGAACATCTTAATAACCGTTATGAAAAGCATCTACCAGCAAGGCTGTCAAGACCACTTTGTGAACGTGGTCTCACACAGCCTAAAAAAGCAAGCGAAATGACAGAGTACCCCTTTTCATCGTCTCTCTCTGAAAAAGCTAGTGTAACATTGTCAGCGCAAAGAAGAGTTGAAGAAAGCCTTATGAAGACCCATGTAGTCCGTAATCCCTTTATTTATGGTCCTGAAACTCCAATAGAAATAGCTCTGCGTCAGGTCTGGGAAATTCACGTATTAGATCGTGAAGTAAGCTTTCAATGGAGGGGGATGGATGGGATCTTAATTGGTTGGTGCAACTGGAAAAGGATTTGACCAGAGCACTGGAGAACAGACTGCTGTTAGGTCTTTTGAAGTTTGAATTATACCTGCCTTTAGTAGGTCTCTTTCTTTATACAATTTTAATTTTAAAGGTAGTAGATAATACCTCTTCCACCTGTTTTCTGTTTTTCTGCTGTTTTTTGTCATTTATTTGTTTAAATTTTATGACTTTTTGCTTTAGGGAATTATTATAGCTTACGCTCCCAGCATGAAAAAGCAGCACTCTATTTCCAGAGAGCCTTGAAACTAAATCCTCGGTATCTGGGGGCCTGGACACTTATGGGACATGAGTATATGGAAATGAAGAACACATCTGCAGCTATTCAAGCTTATAGGTATCGCTCATGCACTGCACAAAATAGTGTTTGAGGTCTGCATACATAAGGATTGGAGTAATACCTTCTGTATTTCCTTGTTAGTCTTTTACTGAATTTCGTCTTGATCCTGACTGCTTCCTGATTAGTGCATTTCTTTTTCTTTGACAGACATGCGATAGAGGTGAACAAAAGGGACTACAGAGCCTGGTATGGCTTGGGGCAAACCTATGAAATCCTCAAAATGCCATTTTACTGTCTCTATTATTACCGACGGGCCCACCAGCTCAGGTAGAGTTGAGCATATGGCCACGTTTCTTGGTGTTCATTCTGAACTGCTTGCTGCCTGCTAAGGAAGTTAAATGCAGGAACTAAGTTGAGGGAAAAGGGCAAAAGCATCAGCCCCGTGATTTGTGCAGTCTCACTATACTGATTCCTTTCGGTTGTATTTGTTAATCCTTAGCAAAGACTTTCTCAGTTAAATACTAAAGAGTGCTCGTCAGGAGTCTAAGTGACATTTTATATAAGAGAGAGGATGAAGGACTCTTGTCAGATACTTAGTCTTGGCTGGCTGTTCATTATGCTCCATTTAGGAATTGCTTTTTTACAGACCCAATGATTCCCGTATGCTGGTTGCTCTAGGAGAGTGCTATGAGAAACTGAACCAGTTGGTGGAAGCTAAAAAGGTAAGTGAGCACTAAAATATGGAGTAAGACAGGCTGTACGTTCGAATGTCTTCCAGGATACTGGATGGAGTTGCAGTAAAATTGTGTGGCTAGGGCTACCAGAACTCTCCCTTAGAGAAGGACAGAGATGAGAGCTTTTAGTAGCTGCTGCTATTTATTGCAGCCCTGAACCTAGCCTTAGAATGTAAGGAAGTGCATACAGCATGTTGTTGGGGCTTATTTAAACTGTTTCTGTTGCAATTATGATTGGGAAGTTCTGCTCCAACGTAACTGGAGCAGCTGACAAATAAAGAGAATTGTCTACAGGTTATATATGCCCCTTTCCTGGAGAGCTGTATAGTTTTCTAACTTGCTTGCAGGAGAGTCATGAGCTGGAGTCAGTTTTTTTTGTGTGCTCGACTGACTTTTTTTTTCCTTGGCAGTGCTATTGGAGAGCTTATGCTGTTGGAGATGTGGAGAAAATGGCATTGGTGAAACTGGCAAAGTGAGTATGTAGTAGCATTGAATCGTCAATATTGTGTTAAGTGGAACTAAAGCACTCTGGTACCTATTGATGAAATAATAAATGGAAAACAAATGGATTTCCTTTTAGGTAGTGTTACTTTTGGAGCTATGTAATAAGTGATATTCTTGGAAGGCCTGCTATAACCACAAATCCTAATGTCTAGGCCTAGCTTTAGGTTTCCCTCAGGACAATTAGAGAGGGAGTCATAGGATAATGTAGATTGGAAGGGACCTCTGAAACCTGGAATGATTTGGGCATGAGGTGCCAGCACATACGTGCTCTATAGTGGAGCTTAAAGAAGTGCATGATGCTATATGTTATACAAAATAATAGATGGACTTTGTCCAATATATGGATGTGACATGGGAGAAGGGTCTAACTTGCAATAAATGAGAACACTGTGATTTTAGCACCAATTTTTGTTGAGGAAGAGGTTATATAAAGGGAAGAAAGTGAAAGGGAAGGAAATGGGCAGGTGAAAGGTGAAGATGCTGTACAAAGATTTTGGGATATATAGGAGGGGAAGAAGGAACATTGGAGGAAATAGCCAGTTAGAATAGGATAGAAAAGGTCTGTTTAAAAACAAAATTAAAATGTAATAGAATAGGTCAGGAGCCCTGTCTTGACTGTATCTGTAGCAGTTAGCATCTGACTGGCCTCAAGCTGGTGATCTATTCCGTTAAGGGCAGGCCACGATACAGGTCTTGCAAATTCTAAAGGAAAATGCCTGACTCTAGTTCAGGTCAGGTTTAGTGGGTACCTTCTCATAGACCAAGAAGGTCTAGGAGTTCCTGCTATGGGGGTCTTCCACAATGCACTTTTATTTCAGTGGCCCATTTTTCTCCTTTTCTAGGCTGCATGAACAGCTGAATGAATCTGAACAGGCTGCTCAGTGCTATATCAAATATATCCAGGATATCTATTCCTGTGGGGTAAGACTGTATCTTGGGAATAAGAGGGAGAAATAAACATGATGTAGAACTAGCTTGGAAGGCACTCAAAGATGGTATTTTCCTCCCGACCCTATAGGAGATAGTGGAGCACCTGGAGGTCAGTACTGCCTTCCGTTACCTGGCCCAATACTACTTCAAGTGTAAGCTCTGGGATGAAGCCTCAGCCTGCGCTCAGAAATGCTGTGCGTTCAATGATGTGAGTAGTCACACAGTCCCCAGTGCTTCCTTCTTAGGGGATCTCTGGAATTCATCTTGGCTCCTCTCAGAGTAGGAGGAATCTTTTATTGAAGGAATGAGGGCTGTTTGCCTTACAGGTGAAGAATCGTATCTCGAATGTTGTTGCATACCTGATTTCTACTGCTGTTTGTGATTGACTGAAGTTGAGGAATACAGTGTAGGTAGTAAAATTGAACCATATCCTGGGTTCGTGTTCGCTGAGTAAAATTGAGACTCTTAGTGGAAGTCTCAAGATTGCAGAAAATCTTGGTGGCGAAGAAGGGCCTAATGGTGACAAGGCACCATGTGTAGTACTGGTATTTACATGACTTCACGTTTCTGATCTTGTTTGTATGTAGACAGTGCAGAGGATATGATAGTACTTGTTTTCTGTACGTGACTCAATATCATGAGCTTTTCTGAAGATGTAAGTGGACAGCTTGAATTTTCAATTTCAGCCTAGAAGCAGACTCTATAGCCATGAGTGCAGGGTGTTTGGCTTATCCTTAACAAAGCTGTCTGGAACTTGAAAGAGAAGAACCAAAATTTAGTTTATTTGAAATTTCTCCAGTCTACTTTTTTGATGGAAAATTTGGGCACTGTTGGTGGTTGATAGTACCACTTTGGCCTGAAATATCAAAGTAATGTGGAAATGAGATGAGTAAAAGAAGTAAGGACTACTTAAAAAAAAAAAAAAAAAAGCCTGACATACCTTACTGTTCTTATTAAATAGCAGAAAACAAAAAACCGAGAGTAATTTTCATATATTGCAGTCCTAAAGAATGGCAAACTACTGTAACTTACATTGCTTACATATGGAATTTGACTCAGAAATCACGCATGCATGGGGATTTAGGCTTGCACTTCAACTCATGCAACATAGTATGGGGTGTTTTTTTTTTGGTTTTGTGGTTTTTTTGTTTTTGTTTTTTATAAATTGTTTTCAGACTAGAGAAGAAGGGAAGGCCCTGCTGCGGCAGATCTTGCAGCTTCGCAACCAAGGAGAAACCTCGTCTACAGAAATTGCTGCTCCCTTTTTCCTCCCTGCATCACTGTCAGCCAACAACACTCCCACGCGTCGTGTGTCTCCACTCAATCTGTCTTCTGTTACACCATGAACAATGCTGATACCTCTAAACTAACCTGTGCACTGAGTGTGACAATGCAGTTGGGGCTTGTTCCTGTTACTGCAACTAATTTCTTTCCAGTGAAATTTGTTCATTCAGTGCTGCCTTCACTTGGAAGGTAGGAATTATTAGAGCCTGCAGCTGAAGGCAGGTGTGCCCAAACAGGCAAAGGTGCAGCCTACATGAAAGTGCCTATGCTGAGATGTCAGAATCTGCTGTACTTCTCACCGAGTCATTCCAGTCAGAGGGCAGACCTGTTTCAATACACAGGATTACTCATAACTGAGGGTGGGGGAGGAGCTTGTCTGCTTGAGTTAAAACATGTTTGAAGTTTGTTAATTCTGCCCTGTTACCTCTGGCTTTATTGAACTTTTTTGGAGGACCTCTTAGTGGTATTACTGCGGCCTACATCAGAAACTGTTACCTGCCTTGGCTGCTTATGGACTTTTTACCGATCTTCAACTACGTGGAAGATGTTCCACTAAAACAGTATTGGGCACTTAGATCTGTGCTGTACTGTGTGAGGGGAAAACAGAATTTAGAGCTGGGAAGTGTCAGAGGAATTTCAAGTAGCCACAGATGACAGCTGGTTGTTGTTCAATTTGTGGTTCTAACAGATATTTTGACTTTGGATAGAAAAGCAGCCAGTAGAATAGTATAATTAAAAAAAACGTTGATTAAGTTACTGTCCTGGGGCTTCTTCATGGTGCAACTATCATGTGTACTGTAGCAAATGACATTGGGTGAACTGGGATGGATTGTTTTGTTATGGATTGTTAGATCTGGTAGACTGTAGGATGCAGGGGATTCTTCCCCTCTGAGTCTGCTGGGTGCAAGATGTTCCCACGTCCAGCCGATATTGAAGCTGAGTGTGAGTTCCAAAGATGCACGCGTGCACCCACACACTGCAGACATGGCCATAAACAGATTAACACAGACAAGAGGACAGTGCCTTTACAAGCACTCAGATAAAATATAAACCACAGAAATGGCCTAATCCTGTTCCTGCTTGCTGACTAATCACGCTTGAAATTTGCTAGTGGAACATGCAAACGCCCTCAGTGGCTTAGTTCTCATCACAGAATCACAGAATGGTTGAGGTTGGAAGGGACCTCTGGAGATCATCTAGTCCAGTCCCCCTTGCTCAAGCAGGGTCCTCTAGAGCATGTTTCCCAGGATTGCGTCCAGACGGGTTTTGAATATCTCCAGGGAAGGAGACTCCACAACCTCTCTGGGCAACCTGTTCCAATGCTCTGTCACCCTCACAGTGAAGAAGTTTTTCCTCATGTTCAGATGGAACTTCCTGTGGTTCAGTTTCTGCCCATTGCCTCTTGTCCTGTGGCTGGGCACCACGGAGGAGAGTCTGGCCCCATGCTCTTGACACCCTCCCTTCTGATACTTGGACACATTGATCAGGTCACCTCTCAGTCTTCTCTTCTCCAGGCTGAACAGGCCCAGCTCTCGCAGCCTTTCTTCATAGGAGAGATGCTCCAGTCCCCTCATCCTCTTTGTAGCCCTCCGGTGGACTCTCTCCAGGAGTGCCATGTCTCTCTTGGACTGGGGAGCCCAGAATTGGACCCAGTACTCCAGGTGAGGCCTCCCCAGGGCTGAGTAGAGGGGCAGGATCACCTCCCTCCACCTGCATGCATGCTCATGTTCACAGGTCTCTCCAGTCTCTGGCCAAGAGCTTGCGTCTTTCCAGCATCCACATCTGAACCTTAAGCATTCATATTAAAAAAAATGCATTCAGAGTAGGGAGCACACTCACACAGGGTGTAGAAATAGAGTTTAACAGAGGTATAGAACACGCTAGGGTGATTAAGCACACTGCTCGGCCAGGCAGAGGGTACTGACCAGCAGCCTGCTTACTCACAATTATCTGATGTTATTCTCCCTGCCACTTCATTTTCCCGTGCTTGTTTCTCCCTCCCTGATCCACCTGCAGCCCTTCCGTGATTTTTGAGCCTTCCCCTAAACATTCTATGGTAGATTTTGCATGGTCCCACAATCCCCTTCAGACATCTTAGGGCAAATTTGCTCTTTCCTCTAAGACCCTTTCTAACAGTCCATGTCTTACTGGTTACAAAGTTTCTCCTTGAATCTCCTCAAAATTACACTTGAGTGGTTCCTTTAATGGCTCATGGACCCATGTCTTAAGGGTTCTCGTCTCTGGTACTGTCTCAGTTATCTGCTGTTACTATTCGTGTGCTTAATTTATCACCCTGATTTTTATGTTGAATAGCAGTTAAGCAGATATCCTTACATGCGTATGTAGTCTGTTGACGGTTTCACTGCGGTAATGAAGAGTAGAGGTCAACAGCTTTGCTGACTTTGACTTGAATTATCTTGCTTATTGAAAGGTAGGGCCCTTCAAACAAAGACAGCATCATGTTTGGGCTTTGTTTGCCTAGGAGGAATATGATTTTGTTTGTTTTGAGCAGTGACTGGTGAAGAAACACCAACAGTTTGGGATAGTATCAATTTGATTTATGACTTGAAGTCTGACTTCAAATTATCTCAGTTCTATTCAGTTTCATCTTGTGAGCTGGATACAAGTTGGAGCTATTTCTAGAAGTACGTGAGATTTCTATAAATGTTTGGTAATGAGCAGTTATGAATAATCTGCAGATATTCCTTAGTAAACAAATTCCAGTTTCCTCAGGCCTATCTAATAGCTGAATCTCCTATTTAGTTCTGTAACTGTCTGAAGATTTTCTCGGGAGGAAATGTTCCAAATTTCAACTGGACATCTTTTTAAAGAAGGTTATCCAAACTGTGGTGTTTGTAAAGGTCCTGCATTCAATGTGGTATCAGGATGTCATTGTGGGAGGTTGTCCACAAGAACTAACTGTGTTCACCAGATCTAAATAGCAGAATTGCTTTCAGCTGATGTGGGGTACCTGGCCTGCTGAGTTTCTAAAAGGCCTTCATCATCAGGAAGATCAGTGGAATTCGGAAGACACCTCTTCCAAATACATCTACTTTAAATACCTACCTGTAAAAGATGCTATAGGGTTGAGCAATTATGACTAAGGTGGGTTGTGAGCATGCACTAAAGCCCAAGAGGAACTGCGAGTTCATTTCTTATCCCTTACCGTAAGCTTAGGTACTGGCACTTAATGCCGAGTTCAGAAGCTTGTGTTTAATGAAGGTATGCTGACTGACTTGTTGCTGCTTTGCGTGTCTGCTACAGTACGCCAGCTCTGGAAGTGTGAAAATCCCTGCTTGTAATGACATCTGTCCCTCAGGATGGGAATGATTTATTAAGAGTAAGGAGGGATTACACGGAAGTATAGTTTATCTATTTATTTAAGACTGAAGATGGAATGGGTTCTTGTTTTGTAATTTGGCCTCCTAGTATGTTTAGAACCCCAAACCAGCCTACAAGTTTTTTGAATGTTCTAATGCATACGCTAAATAAGATTGTCACATCTTGTTATAAACATCCGTGACTTATAAAAACATCAGTAGTTTGTAATAACAATTGGTGATCAGTTCTTATGCCATCCACGAAGCAAGTTGTTCTAATGTAAATTACACGATTAATGCAGCAGAACAAATCTATTAGTTCTATCTTTCTTTTTTGGTAAAATTACAAGCTTTATATTTACTGTAAATAATCTTTAAATTTATGGAAGCATTCTAATGGAGGAGGCCTAGAAAAACAATGGTCAAAATCTTAATATTTTCTAGGAACAGTCAGTCTTACTGCAGAGAATTGTTAACTTTGGCCCCTTAATGCTTTGTTAGAGCTGGCATGGGAAAAAAATAATAATGTTCTATTTTGTTACTATATTCATAGATCCCTTTAAAGGTGAAGTTGGTTTTAACATGAATTATATTCAACAATTAATATTGTGCATCACACGGTTAAATTTTAGAAACAATTAAGCTTTGGTTTCTAGACAGGTGTAAGTATCCTCCAGTACTTACTTGAACAGTTTTCCTTCTCTGTTATTTCTTTGCTGATTCAGTCGTATTACTTTATTATTCATTATTCACCTCTCCTAGACTCCTTCTGTCCTTGCACGCTTGCTTGAAAGGATGTTGCTGAAAACAGCAATACTGTCTAGGTCTAGCTGCTTCTCCTCAAGCTGTTGTCCTTTGGAGGATCACCTTGTAAAACAACACACCAAAGCCATCAGTTACTGTATCTTTTGGAACACTTTTACAAATCTTTAACTGCAATTAAAGATTGTTTTAGTCTTTGTTTTAGTGTTTCTAGCTGATATGCTGTTGAACTAGCTTTTTCCACAATTACAACTGGCCCGTGTCATTTCCTGGACAGTATGTGTGAGGTTTCACTGATACCTTGGTATGTAACTTGATCTCCTGCATTCCATTCTTTGCTGATTAGGAGCTTTCCAAATCTACTGTCTCTTGTTCTGAAGTTGTGGCCTAGTTGGATAGCTGTCTCTATTTATTTCTGCCATTTGTTTTATTGGCATACGTAGCCACTGACCAGATAATACTTTTTGCTACCATTCACCTTGTGCATTGTTGTCAGTCCACCATTGCTACAGTGCCCTTGTTGATCAGCCAGTGATTATCATGTGAGGAGACAATTCACAAGGAAGGAGAACAGAGAAACAGAGAATAAACATGGGATATGCAGGAGCTGGGGCAAGATCTTCCTTCAGCTATCAGAACTTTGGGCTGTTCTGTTCATGCTCCGATAGTCTCTTCTGCTTGAGTAACATAGTAACCAAAGCTTGACTGTTATTTAGGCAGTCTTTCTCATGTCTTAATATTCTTGATTGAGTCAGAGCTCCTTTTCTGCTGCTTTTGGATATTTATATTGCCTTTGCAGTGGCGGATGTTGACCTGTTACCACTACCTGAGCATGAATTTGTCCACATTCCAATTTATCTTTGCTTAAACATTTAAGTTCTGAATCCACATGTCTGCCCTCCAAATGTTTCAGTGATACCTGGATACCTGCAACAGGGGTATTTTGATGGAACCCTCTATTTCTCTGCCGTACAGCCAGGCTGCTGCCAAACACAACTGTTTGATGAATCCAGAGTGAAGATAGTTCGCTCAACTAAATGGGTCAGAAAATGCCATAATACAGCTGGAATCTACCTTGTGGTCCATTCCTTATTTTAAGTGCAAATGACTGGAGTCCATCTGTACATATCTGTTAACTGTGACTCCTGTCTTGTTACAGCACTGGATGTGACCTTGCTCTATGTGGGGTGTATGTGTGTGTGTATGTGTTTTCCCCTCCCCCTTCCCCCCCCCAACGTTGGGCATTCAGCATAGTACAGTGTCTTACTATGGCTCCTATGTATTTATTTACTGTTCATCTTTAGTGGAGGAAAAATTCCATATTCACATGATATATTTTTACAACTCTTCTGGTGCTGAGCTTCATATAGTAAATGAACACGGCTATTTACATCTTTATAAAGAGATGATGGGTTTTCTTTGAATCTAACTAATGATTATGAAAACAAAAACCTGTGGAATAGCAAATGCTAATACAGTGCAAAATGAGCTATTTATCTGCCTATATAATCTAGCAGGGGAGTGTGGAGAAGCATCATTAACATGCCTTCTTCGGAAATACTGTGTATTCCTTACTAGGGAGGGAAGAACCCTGTTTTTTTTTCCACCAGGACCCCTGTGCACATCTATTAGCATGGGTCACAGTGAGGAGTGCAGTGGGCTATTTGTCCACCTCTCATGACATGACCTGCCTCCTGGAAGACCTCCTTGCCCCTATCAGCCTTGTTGCTGGCAGAAGGGTCTGGGGAATGTTAGTTCTGTGGCTGGCTTATGTTGAAAGTTTTCTGTTACTGCACCAGTGAGCAGAGGACCAGATGATGATATGTTTGAAGGATGCTGACAGGAGATGGTTACAAGCTGCATGTGCTGAAGTAGGTAGGTGCTGCCTAGCGCAGCCCCTCTTACAGCAGTGCTGCCGCGCTCACTCAGCCTGCTGCAGGGGAGCATCCCCTGGGTGGGAAGGGCAGCCCAGTGGCCCGTGGGCAGTGAGTGCCATGTTCCTGGCCTGTACAGGGACTGCAGTGAGCCTGCAGTAGGTTGCAGTGGTGACCACAGTAGTGTGCCGGGCAGTATCATTCTGTTGTAGGATGGTGACGGTGACTTAACTGCTCACGTGGGGAAAGAGGGCAAGAACCAC